TACGGACGCCTAACTAACATTCTATGTAATTATCGTATGGTATGAACTTTTCTGATATTTTTAATGAAACTGGATTACTCGTTGTGAACACTGAAAACCGATGAATGGAGCTGTCCTGATTAAAAGCATCTTAGGCGGCGAGATAGCCGCAAATCGCCTATTAACGAAACCGAGACTGTATTCAACACTAACCAGTATCGTAAAACTTTCTATTTATCAGTATGTAAAGGAAAGTGGGTTGACAATTAGCAGCTAAAGATGTATAGTGCATAAGGCACCCTGCCATTAATGTTTTGGAAGTATACCAAGATGAGTAAGTAGTGTGTGTGTCGTAGCCCAGATGAGTAAGAAGTCAGTCACTCTGGCGTCATTAACACCAAAGTGGCAGGCGATTTCGCTACGCTCGGAGTATTAATTTATTATTGTTTGGGGGTCACTTACATCAAAAATGTTCATACAACCTGTGGGACGCTAAGCGACCTTTGACATCACTAAGTGGGGCAGTAATTAGGAAATAAGAGTATGACGGATTTGAAGACGATATTCGGTAAAGGAAAACAAAATAATTACACTTGATGTGGTTCAGTCGCTTACTTGTCTTCCGCCGACGGTTGATAATACATGTGTAGAGTAGCATTTAATGCAACAGTCATTCGTTCAAGATCTAGCTTGCCGGAGAGAAGGCATCGTTTGTAGAAAGATGCGAGCTCAGCTAGAGCCTCTTTCCTGATATTAAGGGATTTATCTCTGGATCTGTTGTGGACAAGTTCGAAGAAATCGCCTATCGAGTCGTCTTTTGCCTCACGCATTAGGGATGCAACAGTTTTTAGGGCAAGTAAACGTACGGCTGTGTCCGAAAATGAAGAAAAAAACAGCAGGTAAGATGGTGGTGGATAGGATTTTTGGAGAAAATTCTTTTATTAATCAAGCTAGGCGAGGAAGTCAGAGGGCGTTGGTGAATTCTATGTTTGCAAATCAGTATATTTTGTAAAGTAACCCCAGAAAGGTTTGTTGATAGAGAACAATAGTAAGGCCTTCTTAGCGAGACCGTGCAACGAGCACACTAACCAACCAATGTACGCTATATTTACATGTGGAATCTGAGGAAGGTTTCTGGTCTGATGAAATTGGAAGAGAAGTGTCAAAGAACTTTCCATCGAGTTGTTACTAGTGACACGTACTGAGAAACGAATTGGTTTGAATACGGAACTATTTGCAACTTTATTCATTAGAAAACAAATGTGTCTGCAAGTCATTTCACGACATTGCATCAAGTTACCTCACTAAATTTAAACCTTCTTGAAAATGACTGCGAAAAAACGGTAAGCGGGTTTACTGATTTTTAAGTCAGCAACAGTACTAACTCTAGCATTCAACATTCTTGCTACAGCGTTCTAGGAAAAGCTGATCCAAATATTTAAAATGAATAAATTTACTATCTTAACTACTATTGGCATCATTATCTTTTGGAACTATGCATACATGGGCGAAATTAAATCTAGTCACATTAAAAAATATGGTAAAAACGTCAAAATTGTTAATTGTAACATACCGTCGGACCTATCCATTGCAGAGGCCCTCAAACAGTCGAAAATTTGCGATTTTGGTATTTCTGGATTTCTCAGTAAAAGAGGAACCATTTGAATACAGAACGATCGGATGTTGACGTCTATATCATTAAAGCGACTTAAAAATGAGGTCCACAGTTCCGGATCTGTTTGATGAAGCGTTGAATTCTAAAGATATGAGGGCAACAATTTCGACATACGGGCTCAGAAAAGATGCGGGTAAGCAGCCGAAAGGCGCGTTTCCGTTCGCGGGGAATGAGAGACTTTAGTTTCAATCCAACACAAGGTAGTATCGGTGCCACTAGGCTTTCCTGTAATGTGTGAAGGACGTAGATTAGGATGTATGCGTGTTCTCCAAGAGGTCCACGATCACTGTCCAAAACTCCGTCGTCAGATTCGTTGATATTCGTTGTACTTTGATCGATTTTAACCAGTGAGTTTTGCAGAAGCTTAACATGGTTAGGACAAAAAGGTCGTACCAGTTGAATAGGATATTCTATTTGGGGAACCATTCGTAATATGAGATCTTTAGCCAATAGGTGTTGCTGGGGTTGTGTGCTTTTCGCTGGCTCGATAAGGAATTTAAGAAGAAAAAGGACAATTTCATCGGACAACAAGTGGGTTGTCTGATGCATCAGTGTAACTAGAGTTTCCAAAATAAAATTTTGGACGGCAACTTCGTCCGACCACGCCCAAATTTTCAGATTTCTAAAAAATGGACAAGAATGTCGTTCCTACCTCATCAACGTAAATATAGTTTTTAATGTTTCCAAAAGAACTTTGTCCCCATCATCCAATAGCCTGCACCATGTAAAGACATCGAGTTTACAACAAGTCTGCTAAATGGATAAACGCTGACTCACTTACATAGAGAATAGTGTGCAATCTTGGATAGTTCACATCTTGTTTGCTATGCAGCTTGGTAATGTTTAAAATACATTCATTGAGAAATCGCAAAAGGTCCTGAAACCATTATTTTTAAAATATTACCAATTACCCCGACTACGGATTGGCAGTTCGACGCATGTTCAAACGGATTTAAGGGACAAAATATGGTAAGCATGCGACAAAGAGCAACGCCGATTCGCAATCTGATATCGATATCGGGATAGTGCGTAAACTGGGGAGAGAGTAGATGAATGCAAATGCCGGCATATTTCAATCGCTCCTTTGAAGCAGTATTTGGGCGACAATCCATTTCTTGGGACTGCTCATCGATGGACTCATCTTCGGCGCAATTTCGCGACAGAAATATTTGCAAAGCATTGTTTATGTCCTAGGATATCACATATAATTAAGACAGAAAGTTACGTTAATGCGCTTTCTAAATTCCTCGGGTTTCAAATCCTCAGATAGCTCCTTACAGTTTTCGGGGTAGACCAATTCAAAACCTATCTCGTCGGTCATCGCCAATACATGGAAAAAGGCCCCGATTTGATTTGGATCAACGCTCCTCGTACTAGCGCATTTAAAGCATTCTAAGGCCTTAAATCTAATGCAAGTTGAAGTAGGAACTAAACAGTTAGGAATCCATAAAAATGTCAATTTTCTCAAAACATTCGTTCCTAAAGTGGACGATTAACAGCGGGACATCCGTCCATGGAGCGACACCAATCTTGAAAAATTTGGCTGGAGCGCCCAAAGCCAAGCTCAAAGGACCTTTAGTGGTGAATAGCACAACGTTTATACAATAACACTCAAGTTGTAACAAAACAGAACTGTGGGAAAATCACATACAATTATGGACAGTGGCCCCGGAGACGCGTATATTATTCTGCGAGAAATTTGTTTCTCTGTTTAGACAGTGCCTTCCTGGTGCTAACAAACGGAAATTATACGATTAGTCGCTCGAAAGGGTGTTCAAACATTAGCCAGCAACGGAGTCCTCTTTGCAGATGGTAGAAAGATATGGCAATCGACCAAAGCCGTAATAATGACTGTATCCAGGACATCTAGGTGAATGTTCCGATAAATAGTTTATAAAATATAACTTTGTGAAATGCGCCGCAGTGCGGCTCAAAATGAAGAAGGCGAGCCCGACGGGTGACTGTCACCAATAATTACTTGATGGAAGGTGCGTGTTTGTGTCAGTGCTGCCAAATGGGCGACCAGTGTTCTGTTTAGCATTAAACGAACTTTATGTAGGTGACTTCTTTTCATTTGCTCCATCAATTAACTCCTGCGAGAATTGCTTCAAACTCCGAGGGACCTTATCGCATCTGAATAGCTGCATTTCTAGTGCGTCGGTGGTCTCTGGGACGACCTGCCCGAGGGCACAATAATGGCTGATACGAAGGACGCTTTTAAGCATAATCTTCAAATATATTTGCTGAAAATGTATCGCCGATTTTCAGAATTGCTGGCCACAAATGATACTCTTACAAAAGGGTATGCAATTCAAAATGTTATTCCCTGTTTTATAGTCGCATATTAATTTTATGTATTTCACCTTAATTATTTTTGTATGCCGTCTTCCAAGACAATGCCCATTACCTCAAATATACTGAACCACGATCACCGAAAAAAATAATTTTATTTTCCTGAATTTGCGGATTCTGTCGAGAATCCTTAATCATAAGTGATCGTAGAATGGACCGAGCCTTGTCCAATGGCAAGTTTAGCTGCACGCCTTTTAAACTTTTTGCAGCCAATATTAAATGAAAATTAAAGTGTTATTTTGGGTTTTTCCTGCTTTCCAACGGTTTTGACGGTGCCCAAGAGATACCTTACCAATAAACCTTATAAATATTGAGGTCTTTCGTGGCCTATGGTCGCCAAACTTCGTTGGCGAACTTCATTTGCGACCGCACGAAAGTTCTGAAAACTCTGGTGAAGCAATCGTCATCGAAGAGAGAAAATGCTCATTTGGCGTGGTACAGAACCGACATCACAGACTTGGCTTCCTTTGCGCAATGCAGGGAGAATTTGAGTAAGGACGTGATCCAGAGTCCCAAATCCTTTTTGGTGTCCACTTCTTTCAGTGGTATGCCATTTGGTCTGTAAACCGTACAGTTTGAAGAACTGATTTCGCCGACTCGTATGATGTTGCACTTGCTCTCATTGAATGGCAAGAGCCAGTCCTTTGATAATTTTGGTATCGATTTAGGTCTACCTACCAGTGCTCTTCGTCAACCGCAGTTTGAACGACGCGCCAAGGTTTGATATCATCCGCAAAAATGGCGATATCGCAATCCAGTTCGCTGACGCCATCATTGATGTAAACAATGAACGATATTCGACTGAAAATTGAGTCATGGGGAAAAACACTCACTACCGGAGCCTTGGCTGACTGTTTTTCACTGATGTGGACAGTTTGTGGGCGGCCAAGTAGGCATTTTTCTATCCATGTCAGAAGCCTACCACTTACTTCTATGTGGCTATGATTACAAAGAAGGTGGTTGTGTGGCACGCTATCGAAAGCCTTTTTTTGAATTGGAAATAGACTGCGTGTACCGTATTCCCTCTATCGGCTGCCTCAGTTCACCGTTCTAAACTGAAGAGCAAATTTGTCGCGCAGGACCTTCTTCTATGGCAAGCGTGACGGACATCGAGAAGAAGATGTTAATTTTCTAGGAACTGCACTAGTTGTTGCTTAATTCTTTCTTCCATTATTTTGCAGCAAATTGAAGTAAGGCTGACTGTTCGATAATTGTTTGCGGAGACACTGCTTCCACTCTTATAGAGCGGTGTAATCCACACTGATTTCCAATCGGCTTATAGACATCCGGTCGCGACAGATGTTTGGAAAAACGTAGAGAGTGATTTTTCCAACACACTGGCGGGGTCTTTCAACATCTTGGTCGGTACTTCATCGCTACCCAGTAACTTATATTCCTTTAGCCCTAACAATTTCTTCAGGGCAATAGCCCCGGTGAATTGAACATTATCAACTATTGTATCCATTTCGGAGTCATCGACAAGTATCCCATGTCCTTAGCGAAAACTTACCGGAAGATTTTGAAATATGAGCAGCTCTCGCTTCGTCTTCAGTAAGATCTATACCTTAGTCCTCAGCCTAGGTATGGGATCTTGTTGCTTGTACTCTGTCCGACGTAACTGTAAGACCGTTTATTGTTCATTATGGCACGCTTCAGCGGGTCAACTTCGAAATCCCGTCTTGTTCTAATGTCTTTGACCTGATTTTTTCTGAGTTTTGTACGCAATTAGAGATGCGGGAGTCCTGTCCGTAAACGACTATTTCCACAACCTTCGCTTTTTGTTAACTTCTGTTTGCAGGGCCTGCGTAAGCCATCG